ACAGTGTTTCTCCTGTTTGGCTTTAAACTAGTTTAAATCACCGAGTCATTTGTGTTCCTCGCTGAGTTCAAGCGCTTCACACTGGATCTCACAGCGCTGTTTCGCTATATTCGCTATATCGATACTGACGCGAGTATCGAAAAGTATCGATACTCAAACAAAAAATATCGATACTAAGGTGTGTTTTATTTACCAGTGATTTTGTTTATTTAACAAAAAAAATAATAACATTATATCAAACATTTACCGAACTCTTCATATAGTTTTATCGAGGAAAATTATATCGCGATAATTATCGCTATCGAATTATCGCCCAGCCCTACTTAAGCCTAGACTAAAGTGTAAGTCTGAGCTGTTTCAACTGAAAGAAACTTGCACTGACTGATGTTAAAAAATATCAGTGCCTTTGTTTTGTCGCAAGATGCACACCAGTTATGTTTTTTCTAAGGCATGTTAAAGGGGTCCTATTATGCTTTTTCACTTTTTTAATTTGAGTCAGTGTGTAGTGTGTATGTTTGGGCATAAAAAAGATCTAGAAAGTTACAAATCTCAAAGTCCACTCCAAAGGGAGATATTTCGTTTTTTTAATTCCCTTTTCAAGAACTACAACGAACGGCTCGTTTGGACTACAGCGTTTGTTTTCCGGGCTTTGTGATGTCACTAGAAGATCATTACAAATAATTCCCGCCTACAGAAATTCGAATGGTTGGGGGGTGGGGAGGGGCGAGGTTGTGGGGTGAAATGTGTTAAAAGTTTTGAGAAACGTGTCTTTGTTTCGAGAACTGTGTGAATGGTTTGGAAAATTGTGCCAAATTAATCAGTTATACCCCCGGTTTCACAGACGAGGCTTAAGCCTAATCCTAGACTAAAGTGTAAGTCTGAGCTGTTTCAACTGAAAGAAACTTGCACTGACTGATGTTAAAAAATATCAGTGCCTTTGTTTTGTCGCAAGATGCACACCAGTTATGTTTTTTCTAAGGCATGTTAAAGGGGTCCTATTATGCTTTTTCACTTTTTTAATTTGTACACCCCCAAAACAAAATCAAGACTTTGTAAAAGAGCATAATAGGACACCTTTAATAAAAATTACATAAATGTCCTAATTGAACTATGGCCTAATCCTGGCTTAGTCTAAGCCCTGTCTGTGAAACCAGGCCTATATATAGTAGTTTAATGTAGCACTGATACTAAAACTCTGTAAACTTGAATTTTTCTCACACAGTAAATTTCATTTTGTTGATATAATGCTGATATAATTTGTTTTTAGCTGTGATTTTTTTTTTTTTATCAGTTTTATCTGCTGTTGTAAAGCACATTGGTCAGCTGCTGCTGTTGTTAATGGTGCTATATAAATGATGGACGGGTCACTGGATGGAGCAGCGGGTCAACACTGCGGCTTTGGCGACTCCAGCAACCACCCAAACGAAACCCCATCCTTCTGCAGCTAACAATTTGGACAAAATCGACGCCGCCAACCCGGCTTCCACCGCTGGAGCTGCAGGGAACAGGAACGGTAAGAGAGCGGGTGCAAATGACGCCCCAATGCCCAGCAAAAACATGGAAAGCAAAGTCAGCATTTTAATATGATCTGGAGAAAGTAGATTCTTCGGTCCTCCTTCGCTCAGCCTCCTCTGCTCCTCTTCTTGGATCCAGATGTCCAGGTCCTTCTGTTCTTTCTCTTCTCTCTTCTTTCTCTCTCTCTCCTCCTCCATCTGTCTTTCCTCCAGCCGTCTCATGTTCTCCAGCTCCGTCTGCAGAGACTCTGTGAACCGTCTCAGTCTTGCTGGGATTGGCTCCACGTTCTGATCTTCTTTCAATATGTCCGTGTTAATCTGATCAATCCTGACTTGAATGCGTTTCCTTCTTCGTTCAGTTTCTTGCTTCTCTTCATTGACGTCAGAAATGAACGCACGCCAACGAGCATCAGCCATTTTCTTGACCTCCTGCTTGATTTTCCTCGTTCTTTCAGCCGTTTCTGCTTGCATTCTCTCTTCTATTATCTTCTGGGCTTCCTGCATGGCCTCTGTGACTTCATTAGTGAAGTGACGGTTCTCATTCACAGCCAGCAGTTTATCCACTTTCTGCAGGAGTCGACTCACTTGTTCTGGGTTTGTAGGGTTTGTGTTGTCAAAGGCCATGAAACGCCTCTCAAATCTCTCCACGAGGTCTCGAACATTTGGATTTTGTCTTGAAATAAACTCTCTAATGGATTCTCCTCTGAGTCTGTCGGCGTGTGAGAATATCAGGACGCTGTGATGGCTGATGTCCTCACAAAACATCTCCAGAATCATTTCTACGGTGCGCTGCTGCTCCTCTGTATATCGTTCTATCGGTATAACTAACAGAAATGCATGAGGACCAGGAGAACTCAAGGCCAGGCAATGTATTACCTCCTGTCGCAGTTCTTCAGTTGTCAGATCGGTGTCAAAAAACCCAGGTGTGTCCACAAGAACGAGATTTCGTCCTTCCACTGTTCCACGTTCTCTCCTGCACTCTTTAGTGACTGAACTCATGCTCACTTCAGCATCAAATCGATCTTCTCCCAGGATGGTGTTTCCCGTTGCACTTTTCCCCGCACCGGTTCTTCCCAGCAGAACCAGACGCAGTTCATCTGGCACTGGATTCACTGCGAGCGGATCGCTGGAACCAGAACCCGATAGAGAGCTCTGAGCGGGTCTCTTCCTCGCTTTTGAGTTTCTGCTCTGAACATCTGCTCCTGAGGAACAAGTGATCATGTCAAATCAAAGTATCAAGCAAAATAACAGTCCTGCATCTTGAAAATAATTTTAATGACAAAAATAAGCATTCAAAATGCATCGTTTAACTTACGAGTGGATAAGGCATAAAGTAATGTGTAAAGTAGTATAGTTCTACGTTTCCCTGCGTCTTGTTTGCTTGGTTTCTGTTTGTCATCTTGTTGTCTTGGTTACTATTTTGTTCATTAATTAATTCCACCTGTGTCTTGTGTGTATTCGGCTTGTTATTATCCTGTGTGTTTATAGCCCTGTGTTTGCTTTCGGTTTCGTCCAGTGTTGTCTATGTAAAGGTGCTTTCTTTTCTCCTGTGCACCTTGTTTTATTTCATTTAGTTTGTGTTTGATCACTGCAATTAGATCCTCTGCTTGCAACTGAACAAATAGCTTGAACCTGGCTCCGATTCAGACAGGAATCATGTGTTTGAGGTGTTTTTTTTCTGTTACGTAAAGGAGAATATGAGACTAATTCACCGCACAAATGGTTGTAAAAGCAAAAATGCAACGAAATGCATCATATTTAGTGAGAAAGTGTGACATGAAAAAGCAATTAGCAGCCCATAATTCATTTAAAAAAACAATTGATTTTCATTCAGCAAATATGATGAAGTATGATTACATCATTATTAAAATTATATCCTACAATCGTGATTTAGTTCACTGTGAAAGATAAATACATTTACAGCATAAAACCTATAATGAATACGTGCTCCTTATCAAGGCTTTTTCAAAACAAACAAATATAATAACAAACCTGTTTAAATTCCTATAATCGTTATGAATAAATGATGCTTAATTACCTTCGTTGGACATGTTTGCTGGTTGAGTTTCTCAGTGTGTGTGGTTGTCGTGTGTTTCTAGTTGGACTGGTTTATGATGGGCAGGACTTACAGAAACGAAACTCAACTCAAATATTGATGCATCAGACCTCTGCTGCTCGCAGAATGATGTCCAGTGGCTGTATAAAAATGCATTTATATTAATTTATAAACATGTTTAATGTAAGATATGCACATATTGGTTTATTTATATCTTAAAGTACATGTTTTTTCCTTTAAGTCCACTACATCCACTAGAGGGACACAGTGAGCCTGTTTCAGAGATGAACTGACATCACTGATTATTTCTGTACAGGTCTGATTATTTACATATTTTCTATCATATGCGAAATGTGCAGGCCTGTTGCATGCATTTATTTGTTTACAGATTCACTGTATGTTTATGGCTGCAATAAAAACTAAGCTAAAAACAAGTCACATAAAAACAACAAGGTTTACACTAAGTAATATCTAGCCTGTATTATCTTCATTGAATGGTAGAAAAAAAGTTATGAGAAATGTCTGTTCAAGAGAAGGAAGGACATTTTAGCCATTTATGGACAAGAATCGATGTGTGATGTCATGGAAATTATTTGTAAGGAGAGTTTGAGGAAACTGGAATTGGATGGAAAACAGAGGCGCCTCAAGCCAGAAAGTTTGAAAAAGTTTTAAAAGCTTGAAGTTTTAAGTAGTTTGAAATTTAAAATAGTTTTAAAGATTAAATTTGAATGTTTTAAAGGCAATACAGTCTATCAGAAAAACAGATTGCTATAGGGCTGGGGTGGTTGCTAGGGTGTTGCTATGAGGTTGCTAGGGTACTCAAGGTGGTTCCTAGGGTACCTGGGGTGGTTGCTAAGGTATTGCTATGTGATTGCTAGGGCACTTGGCATGGTTGCTAGGGTGTTGCTATGCAGTTGCTAAGGTACCCGGGATGATTGCTAGGGTGCTGCTATGTGGTTGCTAGGGTATTCAGGGTGGTTGCTTGGTTGTTGCTATGCGGTTGCTAAGGTACCCAGGCTGGTTGCTAGGGTGTTGCTATGCAGTTGCTTGGGTGCCTGGGGTGGTTGCTAAGCGGTTGCTAGGGTACCCAGGGTGGTTGCTAGGGTGTTGCTGTGCACTTGCTAGGGTGCCGGGGGTGGTTGTTAGGGTGTTACTATGTGGTTGCTAGGGTATTCAGGGTGGTTGCTTGGTTGTTGCTATGCGGTTGCTAAGGTACCCAGGGTGGTTGCTAGGGTGTTGCTATGCAGTTGCTTGGGTGCCTGGGGTGGTTGCTAAGCGGTTGCTAGGGTACCCAGGGTGGTTGCTAGGGTGGTGCTATGCACTTGCTAGGGTGCCTGGGGCGGTTGTTAGGGTGTTACTATGTGGTTGCTAGGGTACCTGAGGTGGTTGCTAAGGTGTTGCTATGTGGTTGCTAGGTTACCCAGGGCGGTGTCTGGGGTACCCAGAGTAGTTGCTAGGGTGTTGTTATGTAGTTGCTAACATACTCGGAGTGGTCGATAGGGTGTTGATATGCAGTTACTATGGTACTTGGGCTGGTTGCTATACAGTCACTAATCATGTTAGGAGCATGATTTAGCACAAAAGCAGATAAAACCAGCTAAAAACCAGTAACACATTGTCAAACCAAGAAAACTGTTGGTACAGCAACATCATTTTAATTGCATTGAAGCAGATCATAGAAACAACTATGAAACACAAAGCTTGAAGTGCAATTTCAAAGTTCAGGTCAATAAAATAAATGTTTTTGGGAAAAGTGCTGGTTAAAGTCAGTAAAACAGCAATTCAGGTCTTAAAACTGACACATAAAACACCAATATACTCCATCATTTAGTGCAATTTAAAACAACTTCAAAAACCTTACAGTTTAAGCTCGTTTACATAAATAAGTTGCATTAAATACAGTCATCTTTACCTTCAGTACCTCATAGCGAATTCAGTAACAGTGCTTCTTTTTAAAACTATTTTCTTCACGAATGGACTTATTTTATGTGTTATTTAACTTAAGTTTTAAATAAATCACTTTTAAGACGTTTGGACACAATAAATACACATTAAAACAATGATACCATGATCAGTTTAAACTAAAATAACGTTGGCGATGACAGGAGCAGCAGTACTTTGTTTGATGGGAAATGTTCCCTAAAACACTTTGTCCCTGTAAACATTGTAAAAGAAAAACCGACATCTATGACTAGCATTCTTGTCTAGCGATGTGCGTGCGGATGTGTTGGCGGTCAGTGCTTTAGTGTCTTGTTGTTGCAGCTCATGCGGGAGACCATGGTGGAGACGAGTTTCTCCATCTGCTGCGCTCTCAGCTCGCCCGTCTGCAGAACCTCCTCGTGATTGGCTTTCTTCTCGCTGTCGTAATCCATCACCGCCTGATTGGTGATCAGAGACAGAGCCACGACCCTCATCCCACAGTGACGCGCCACGATCACCTCGTGAACCGTGCTCATGCCTTAAAACACACACACACACACACACACACACACAGACACATTGACACAGACACACAGACACACACACACGTTAATTCATGCTTTTTCTCCCTCCGTAACTGTCACTCAAAGAAATGAAAAATATATTGTAATAAATATAAGAAATAAATTCAAAATAAGCTCAAATCAGCATCACAGCTGACCCTACACACGTTATTTTTTTAAATTCTATTTTTATTACATTTTGCTATACTGTCCAAAGGATCAACATCAAAAACAGAACAATTACAACTTACTCTTCTGAACGTATATAATAGTTATATAAATAATAATTATAAATAAAAATAATAATAATAATTATATATAATATTATATGTATTAACATATCCAAAGGATCATGCAGAAATGCAGAACAACTGCAACTTTCCCACCTGAACATAAATAATAATAATAATAATAATAATAATAATAATAATAAATTATATATTATTTATTTTATATATACACATATATATAAAAATTATATATTAATATTAATTATCCTATTTTTTCAAATCTATTTTAATTAAATTTGGTTATACTATCCAAATATAATAAAAATATATATATATTAATATAAGTCCGTTATAATCAGTATCTGTTATTGTTCATAATAAAAAACAAACCCTTTCTCAGTGCATGTTCCAGCAGAATAGATTGATCACGTCAGTGGAAAAGGTTATTATTTTAATGATGATCTATAAGAACAAACATCCTCTGTTTCTCTAGAATAACATGCACTGCTGAATCAGTCAGAATAGATCAGGATCATGTGTTACATCTACTAGCATGTTGCTACCATGATTAACAAGTAATTAGCATGTTGCTAGCATGATTAGCAAGTAACTAACATGTTGCTACCATAACTAGCAAGTGACTAGCATGTCGTTAGCATGATTAGCAAGTTACTAGCATGTCACTAACATGTTTCTAGCATGATTAGCATGTTACTAACATGTTGCTAGCATGATTAGCATGCTACTAGCATGTTGCTAGCATGATTACCAAGTGACTAGCATGTTTCTAGCATGATTAACAAGTTACTAGGATGTCGCTAACATTTTCTAGCATGATTAGCATGTCACTAGCAGGTTGCTACTATGATTAGCATGTCACTAGCATGTTGCTATCATGATTAGCCAGTAACTAGCATGTTGCTAGCATGATTAGCATTTTATTAGCATGTTGCTAGCATGATTAGCATGCTACTAGCATGATTAGCAAGTGACTAGCATTTTCTTGCATAATTAGCAAGTTACTAGCATGTTGCTAACATGTTTCTAGCATGATTAGCATGTTACTAACATGTTGTTAGCATGATTAGCATGCTACTAGCATGTTGTTAGCATTATTAGCAAGTGATTAGCATGTTTCTAGCATGATTAGAAAGTTACTAGCATGTCAGTAGCATGTTGCTAGCATGATTAGCAAGTGACTAGCATGTTTCTAGCATGATTAACATGTTACTAGCATTTTGCTAGCATGATTAGCATGCTACTAGCATGTTGTTAGTATGTTTCTAACATGATTAGCATTTTGTTAGGATAGATAGATAGATAGATAAGAAATATTAGATAGACAAGTTTGAATGAGTTTAAATGGATTAGAAATAGTACATAGAAGGGAAGCTTAATGGAGTCTAATGGGCTTCAATTTGTTTACATTTGAATTTTGACAGCTGGAGTTTGAATAGTCTAGGCTCATCTGAACATTCCATCAATGTAAATCTATGGGATTTTTATGATTTTTAATCTTCAATTTTATGAAAACCATGAGTCGGATCAGTCTGAAAAGATATAGCAACCCGAGTCAGAACAGTCTGAAGAGCTGGGCTGAGTTTGGTGGTTCTAGCTTGAAAGCTCTAGGAGGAGTAGCATTCAGAAATGTAGTCTAAGAATAATAATTTCTCAAGCCAACCTAATGAATCACACTGGCTCTGTTTTTGACTCACCCACAGCGTCGGCTCCGAGGAAGTGCAGCATTTTGCATTCGGCAACGGTCTCGAAGGACGGGCCGGCCAAGGCGCTGTACACACCTTCCTGCATGAACGCAGAGTAATCCAGCTCCGCTGCGACCGCATGAGCCAGCTGCTGCAGATCACGGTCATACGCATCCGACATACACGGAAAACGCTCGCCGAACCTGACAGAGACATTAACACGCATAATAACACCTCATGTCATGTGCTTTTCTTATTTTTATTTGTCTTTTTTCTACATAGCTTTAATTAATTTTTATTTTAGTATGTCATTTTGTTAGGCGCTTTTATAATTTTTTATTTTTTTTTTATATATTCTATATAGCTTTAATTATTTTTTTTATTTCAGTTTAAGTTTTAGCAATTTAAGCACTTCAACTTATTTAATTCAGTTGCCAAGGCAACATCTCTAAATTTTAAGTTTTGTTTTTTCATCTAATATTTATATTTTATTTCAGCTTTATTTCAATTACCAAAAATGATTTTTATTAGTTTTAGTGAACGATTAAAACACTGCTCCCAATCATGTTTTATTAATTTTGTCATGTGCTTTTCTTATTTTTATTTGTCTTTTTTTAATATTCTACACCGCTTTAATTAATTTTTATTTTAGTTTTAGTTTGTCATTTTGTTAGGTGCTTTTATAATTTTATAAATTTTTTTTTTTTTAATATTCTATATAGCTTTAATGAATTTTTATTTCAGTTTAAGTTTTAGCAATTTTAGCAATTCAACTTATTTAATTCAGTTGCCAAGGCAACATTTCTAAATTTTAAGTTTTGTTCTTTCATCTAATATTTATACTTTATTTCAGCTTTATTTCAATCACCAAAAATGTTAGATTTTTATTAGTTTTAGTTAATTACAGCACTGCTCCCAATCAAGTTTTGATAATTTTGTCATGTGCTTTTGTGTATATATATATATATATAGCTTGAATTAATTTTTATTTCAGTTTCTGTTTTAGTAATTTTTGTACTTAAACTTATTTATACAATTTAGTTGCCAATGCAACATTTCTAAATTTTGTTTAAGTTTTATAAGGTCTTTTCATCAAATATTTATATTTTATTTTAGCTTTATTTCAATGCTTTTTAATAGTTTTAGTTAACAATTACCACACTACTCACAATCATGTTTGAGTAATTTGTCATGTGCTTTGCCATTGTTATTAGGGTTTTTTTATGTTCCACCTGTGCAGTGTAATGAATTAATGGAATCAGATATCTCACCTCTCGTCGTTTGCTCCCACTAGCGGGTTGTTTCCAGCGAATCCTGGAATATTAATGTGGTCCTTTATGACCATGATGTCTCCCACTTTAAAGTCCTGGTTGAGTCCGCCGGCGGCGTTGGTCAGGATGACCGTCTCCACGCCCATCAGCTTAAACACACGCATCGGCATAGTGGTCTACAAAACCAGATCATCAGGAGCAAGCCTGAGTCACATTCCAGCTCAAAATCAACAGAAAAATACAATGCATCTGTAACATATTTAGCACTTTTTGCACTCTGAGTGTAGGAGCCATACTTACTATCTTATTTAATTTTTCTATATGTTCACTTATATATTAGTTTGCTGCTATATTGTTAATGTTGTTTATTTCTCTGAGTGTGTGCCCTCTATAGGTGTGAAGGGAAAAATGTTTAAAAGGATATGCCACCCCTGACAGGAGGGGGGCGCTGGTGCGAGAGCATACAGTCTTTCGACCGTGCGCATGGAGCTAAGATGGCATGGTGCAACAAGCCTGCAATTAGCCTTTAAGTTGTTTGTTTGTTTTATGTTGCAATTCAAGTTAATTTTGGTTTAATAAACTTCAGTTATTGTTTGGAACTTCAACAAGCCTTTCTGGATCTATTCATGGTGCTTTGCACGCGTCGGAATATTGCATCAACACCTCCCACAGTGGCCAAGAAACAAGGGACAAAATTGGAAAGTTGAAGCTTGTTTTTACCACTACACTGACATTATTCTCAGAGGAGCTGAACTAGAGATGATTGTGTAACACGTGCAACGTTTGTGTTGTATTAATAAAGACATCGTAAAAGTGCCACTGATGTTTACATTCAGCAAATACTGATCATACATGAGTTCATAATGACACCACAGTTCCTAAACACTAAAACTGCTCTTTAATAGCATTCTCAAACATTAGCATTTATACTAGGGCTGCACAATTAATCGAATTTCTAATCGCGATGGTTTTTCAGTTAGAATGTTTTCAGCTTGTTTATTTTCATATAAAAATACGGCATGCAGTTGCATCAAACGATGGCATAAACATCATTCAATGTAAATTATGATAATCGTAATTAATAATCACAATTACAATTTCAAGGGAATAATCGGCAATTATGCAGCCCTAATTTAAACATCAGTCATAGAAGGTTTTTCTGAAATGTTTCAGACGTTCATCTAATGTTTTTTAAACGTTTATTGCTTGTTTCAGAACATTTAGAGAACATTTAAAAGTTTGCTAAATGATACAATGTAACGTTCCATTTATGTTTTCTATAACATTCCTAACAGGGTTATTATAATGAACTGAAGCTAAATCTAAAACCATAAAGCATTTTTTGTAACTTCAAATAAAAAAAAAAACATAAACTTAATTAATTTTAGCTAGTCGCCAAGAAAACATTTCTCATTTTCATTTAAGTTTAACTTGATGTTATAAAATAACTAAAACTAAAATTTAAATAACAATCAACAAAACTACATAGACATTTAAAAAGAAATAATCAAACTACAATAAAAAATTAAAATATAAAAATCATAAACTTTTTTCATTTCATCTAGTTGCCAAGAAAACATTTATCATTTTAATTTAATTTAACTGGATGTTCTAAAATAACTAAAACTAAAACTGAAATTAAAATGAACGACAACTATATAGACATATTAAAAGAAAAAGACACCAAAATAAAATAAACAATTTAAATAACATTTAATTTTTTTTTTTATATTTCATTTAGTTTAGCTTGATGTTCTAAAATTACTAAAACCAAAATAAAAATTTAATTAATACTATATAGACATATTTAAAATTAAAAAAAACTAATAAAACAAAAACGAAAAAATTAAATAAAATATAAAACCCTAAACTTATTTAATTTCAACTAGTTGCCAAGGCAACATTTCTCATTTTCATTTAGTTTAACTTGATATTCTAAAAAACTACAACTAAAATAAAAATTACATGAATACTATATAGACATATTTAAAAAATAATAATAAAACAAAAATGAACAAAAATATTATAATAAAAATAATAATAACTAATAAAATCACAACAAAATTACTAAAACATAAACTAAAAAATTCTGTTTCAAATGGAAACAGAAAATAAAAAACTAATTCAAAATATTAATAAAAACTATAATAGTATTTCAATGATACTGGTTTGCATAACCAAGAAAAAATGTTTTTAATGTTCAGAGAACAATCAGATTTAATGTTTTCATAACCTAATGGGAATGTTAGCAGAACGTTCGAACAGATTTCAGATGAACAGTTAGTGTGTTAATCACCTTCTGAATGGGGTATCCTTCATACAGATGAAACCTGCCCTGCATGCAAACACACGGCGTTCCATTAAGCGTGCCAAACACCAGCCTTCCAGCGTGACCGTGAACTACAGAAAACACGGTTAGAGCGAGCAGGAGTCAGTCTGGAGATGATTTCAGCACAATCCACTGTCACAGCACATGGTCTGAACTCACCGGTGCTCCGAGGGAAGCTGGGGATGTCACTGTACTTGATGACCAGCGGATCTTTCAGCATTTCTGCCAGTCTTCCGAGACCGGAGCCGCACACGATCCCCAGCAGGGGGCGCACTGGAGCCTCAGCCAGCAGCCAATCAGCTGTGGCCTTACACTCCTCATAACCGTACCTGAGGGAGAGCAGAGAGGGTCATGTGATTTTTAGTGAAATAAGTGCTCATTTAATCTAATTTGCTATCATTAGAAGCAAAATGTGTTTTAAAATAAAAGTTAATTCTTCTGGATAAAATAAACATTAACTGAAATAAAATCTAAAAAACCTTAAACTTAATTTATTTCAACTATTTGCCAAGGCAGCAGTTCTCATTTTCATTTAGTTTAACTAAAAAAGCAATATATATATATATATATATATATATATATATA